GAATTTAGGCTTTTCGTGTAAATTCCATAACTTTGCAAAGAAAGATCGTGTAGAGCTGGGAGATGTCTCATTTTAATCAGAATTTCGCGGGCTACAGTTATGACTTAATCAGACAATTCTTGGGGATCTTTCGAGGTTTCTGGAAAACCAGTTTTCCAGAAACCGATTAGGAAAGGCCTATTAGCCAAAACGGCTATCATATTCGGAATCAGCATGATCGATTACCTATAAGCTACCGCATTTCGTTAGAAGAGCGATTTGACAGTTGGATATGTTCCCTCTTAAGTGGCGTATCATAACCTTGAACCTCTAATATTTTTTTTGCCACTGGACCGATTTCTTTCTCAACAAAATTTATAAAAATTTATACCTTTTAATTTCAATACATCGTTTAAAATAAGATGTTCCATTTTTTTTACCGTTAAATTATGTTCAATTGATGAGAAAATATGTTTTTCAAAATGAATACTGTACAAACGTACAGATTAAAATAAAGGAGACGTTATATTAAATCAACGTAGCAAAACACGGAATTTTTTGCTGTATGTGAGTGCATACAGTATTTTATTTTTTGTATTGACTGGTAACACACGCTAGACCGTGCACATATTGAATATACATGCAGAAAGAAGAAAAAACGTATTAAAATGAAAGATTTGCTTTTGCTTGTAGTTTCTCTTACAACTATTATTATCACCTAAAAATTCGACTAAAAGCTTGTCTACTAAAAAATGAATGATATTCTGGATTGGCAGAATGGCATTCTAGAATAAAAGGTATTCCAGAATGAGTACACTCGCCTTGTGGTGCTTTTTTCCTCTTGTTTTTATGTCTCGATAACGATCCTGTTTAGAGTAGAATATGTACACTATCGTCTTTGTTAATACGATTCATCATCATGGGAACTTCTTTTTGCGAGAATATTGTTAAACTAAATTTTTATTGTAAATTTACCATAAAAACCAACAACCTAAGAGAATTGACCGAAAAATAAATATTCTGACACCAAACTGGAGTAAATAAATAAATATATGAATAAATAACAACATATGTAATGAGATCAACATATGTAATGAGATCAACAAACAAAAATGCATAGAAGAAGTTAAAGCGTGTATAACTATCGAACAAAACCAGTCAGTCAATAACCAGAAAATAGAGGAATGTTGAAGATAGGCACTGTTGTCAATTATGGTCACTGTTTGCTCATGAACATTTCGGTGGTGATGGCATATGCTGAGAAAAGAAACATTGCCTATGCTGAATAGAAGAAGAAAAAAACACTTAAAGTAATGCATGAATATCAAAAGTTTTTCTTAACTCGAAAATGAAATTTTTTATTTCAGTTATATAGCGATAAAGTGTTTCAAAAACTGGCTAAAATATGAATACATGATAAACTAGCTCTTTTAAGCAAAATTTTATATTAACAAAACTTAATTCTGTTTTAAATGGAAGAAACAGATTTTATGCACTGTCATACTGATAGAAAAATGTTTTCTTACTTTTTGTTTTGGATGTCTTAATCATCATTTTCATATCCTTTCATATCGACCGAATTTTCTACCACTAATGATTCGCTGACATCACCTGTTGTTGATGCAACACTTTTATCAAATTCAATGACATCTGCAGGGCTATATCTTGGCACAGTGATTTGTTCTGGATTAATCCATGGTCTATAATTAGAATTATTTTTTGATTTCCATTTTTCATATTTTAAACTGGCTTTTAACAATCTTTTCATAAGCTAAAACAACAAACAATAAAAATACTATAAATGATTTTATTCAAAAGTTTTAGAAAATTTTCTAGTTTGATAACTCTAAAACTTACATACAGCAACAATCAGTCATATCAGTATTTTAATCTGATTTTTATTGGTTTAATTTCGTGTCATTTATTCTGATTTCAGAAGAAGCAGTGCACGGGATTTATTATAACGTATAATGAGTTATTCAAAAGATAAAGATGCAGTTCCTGTGTTCGATCCTAGCTTCATACAAGGATTGATTCGCTGTTTTGATAGTTTAAGTTTCAAAATGACATAAATGAGACTTTTTATATTCTTGATTTTGTTCTGATTCAAGATTAAAACTTAAACCAAAGATAAAAATATGCTATATAAGCTATGAAGAATATAACTATCTTCCTCCATAGATCATATAAAATAATAATAATCCGAATTCTACTACACTAAAAATATTTTTGTCTCTTACACACAAGTCACCAATGTACGTCAGAAGAAAACAAATTTGAAATAATATTGAACAGTTTTGGGTGTTAAAAACAAATACGTACCTTTGGCACAAGAATTTTGGATGCTTTATTTACTGCCCATGCGGGTAGCATGCCTTTAAATAGAAGAAACAAACAAGCAAATAGAGTAACACATCATCAGGTTAAATGACATAAAATTTCTCTTTAAGAAGTTGATGATTTTAGTGAAAATTATTCTTATGTAACTTCACAGTCGATAGCATATTATAATATCTATCTATGTCGTTCCTCTCTCAAATAAAGACGTTTTATACCCCCTGGATCGGATTGTGTCATATAATAAAATGTGCAATTGGTAGATCCATTTGGAATTATCAAGTAGCCTAAATAACATGAAAACATTCTCTTACTTATATACACTACGATCATTCATTTTTGCCTTATTACCAGTTATATACGAGATACCACGAACAAAACCCTTTTTAGGCGGTTCACGCTACAACACATACACATTGACAATAACAACACAAAGCAGGAAGGAAAGGTTACTACTTACGACATGATTAACCGAATGATTGATAATATATTTTTCTTTGTTTAAACCAAAATCTAGCCAAGAACGTTGAGTAACAAAATCGCGATTTTTAAATGGAGGAGGACACTTTACTATGAATCCAGAAAACAAACAAAAAATAAAAGCTAAAAATATTTTTAAATCAAAATGAAAGAGAAAAAACTGTTCGTATAGACTGATATAGTGGAGGAAAAACAACGTAATAATTATTAAATAAATATTTAACATATCACACATGCTTTTAATTTTTGTTTACAGCTCTATTATTTATTGAAATCTGTTTAACTATTTCTGTCTTAAGGAAGTAGAAAAGAGTTGGCAGGCTCCATACATACAGGAATAATATCCAATGTCACTGTTTGGACTAACTGAACATAATTCATAACCATCTAACATAGCTGTATCCCATTGAGTGCGATATTGTGCATCATGAATAACATCATATAATATTTCGGCTGAGATGCCATTAAATTCACTACGCACCTAGAAGGTAAACAATGGACTAATGGTCCTATCTCAGTATCAATAGTTAAAAAGGCAAATGCAACAAGATAAGAGTAATTGTATATTGTTTTAGAATTTTCACATCCTTCTGAATTGTGAGATAAAAAAAATGACTCCATCGTTTGCTATATCTATGATGTTTGAATTAAATGCTGCGTACTTCCAGCAGGAGACAAATATTTCAAACAGACGGAATTTATTATCCACTAAAAATTATTAATTAAATAAAGTGCCATCCTATACACAAACATCTGCAAAAATTGTAAGACATCCTTAAAATAAATCGTTGCTTACAAATAATAACGGATGATTTATGAATCAGAATGTTCTGACTGTCTTTACATAACCAAAACAATAACGCTGCGGCTAATCAGTAACCAAGTGCATACGCCACACCAGTCACTGATGAAAACACTGAAAATTTTGTCTTATGTGGGAAAATGTATTTCACCTGACGATGTTTACAGTTTGCGCAGGTGTTTGACCCTGTTCAGACTATTGATCTCAATCAACTTTCAGATCAATCAGCATCCTTAATTTCGACAGAAGTTTTTATCGACCAATCAGATTCATCAATGCTTTTAAGTTTTTGTAGCCTGAATATTGCCTTTGTGTGTAGAATGAGAAATTAATAGTGGAATCCCTTTTAATTCTTTTATTTGCATCCAAAATATGATAATCGTACCTTTATAACATCGAATGGTGACTGATCATTTTTCTTGCATGATACTCGACAATATGATTTATCTTGAACTATTGTCCATCCATCGTCAGAAATGCATTCTTCTTTGAATGTTCTGAAATCACTATCGTCAGCTATAATCACTTCGCCTAGTTTCATTCTCTCATACACACATACACATACGATCTGAAAGAAACAAAAGCGAGTTTATTCAATGTGCGATAATATACACTGCAGTGATGCTTATGTTTTTCTATCAGCATATAGATAGCGCGTGTTGGCCAAGGAAGACTGTTCACAGCAAATTCCTTTTCTTATACAAATTTTACAATGAAAAAATACGCATGAGGTTTTTAATAAGAACAGGCACTAAGCAACTGCAAACTGTTTTTCAACAAAAACTCACGGTTACAGTTTTAGGAAATCATTTTTATTAGTTTTCAAAGCAAAGTAGAGAAAAATTTCAACAATCCAATTGAGACACGTAGCCCGTTATTTTTCCTATTAATTTATATTATTATTCTATGACACTATTGTATATTGTGTTATATAGTAACAACTCGAGCCCGTTGTGGCTACAGCTGGGTAGCCATTTTGTTTAGGATTTACCTTGGTAACCAATAGTGAAGCGCGACACCGCAAAAAATGTTAGTTTGATCTTAACTAGATATTTCCTAAGTAAACTGTAAGAAATACTTTAACATTAAATAGGCTTTGGTAATTCGAAAGCAATTGTGAAGTGTTCAGAGCATCGATGGGATTTCTTTCGAAAGCATCTTTGTGAAGGCATCTATCTGACACAATAGAATAGATTGAAATAGTGCTTTCAAATGAAAGTATCTACTCTAATGAGTACTTTTGGCTGAAGGACGATATTCATAGAATACCCTTTGTTTATGAAATCCTATTTATAGACGATTATAACGTGGTAGCGACTGCTGTAACTATGGATATGAGCGAATTTCGTCTTTCATGTATTTCATCTATCTGTTGTATCAAACTTAATACCCAAATGAAAATTCACATAGGCTGTAGCTAAACTCTATGACTAAGTCCCCGAAAAATTCCGAGCAGTTTACAATAGTCTTTGACAACATACTTGAGTGACCCTCTAGAAAAGAGACGAGACCTAGCCTATATTGTAGAGAATTTTACGCTGATTATGAATATGTATATCTTAGCTGTCCTCGTTGGGATCTCGATGCGAGAGAGAACATGATTTATTTTGCCTAAGAGTCATTGCACGAGAAAGACGGCTGTTTCTCACAGAAGCGTGCTCAATGTCTATTTCAGATTTTTTTTCGAAGTAGCCTCATCTTGTAGTGCATGGTCGAAAACGTAAAAATTCAAATTTGTAGGCTCCCCGAACTTTTCGTTCTGTAGATATGAAATTTTACTTATTTCAGCTGACTAATAAAATATAGATTAAACTGTTGTTATAGAAAGTTTTGCGACCAAAGTCCAAGTAAACGATCGGCATAAGCATTCACTTTCCTGTCTTAATGAAAAACTATATATTTTTCAAGAGAATAATATTGAATAGCCCGTGAAACTCTCTACAAACTGAGCTGATCAGAAAATCTAGACAGGTGGAGCCAGTCATTAAAGATATGCAAAAGAAGCGTTTGAGTGCTATATATGCAGCGCAGTATGTCATAATCATAACAACTCCTTTGTTTTTGATTTTTCATCAAAAGCTGGAATAAACTGAATACATGAATAGCCCGAAGATTTTTCTATCAGATGAGGTGCATACCGCCATTTTATGAAGAAACTTGATAGCAGGGTTTCTGGAAAACCTGAAGGTTAGAAAACGAAGTCTCTGGTTTTTGGTCAGAAAATTTTCCAGACCATATAGCCTGACCGAGCGCAGAATTTTGAGGAAGGTAAGATATCTCCCGGCTATAACGCTGGAAGAAAAAAGAACGAATAGATTTTAATTCAGAGTTGAAACGAAGTTGGAGTTGTACCTAGCGGGAGTTGTCCAGCTCTGACTTTGATGATGTTGAAACTTTATCATTACTTTTTTTATAGTAATGATCTTTTACTAAAACACAGGCATTTTTAAAAGATGTTGCCGATTTTTAATAATTCTGTCGGGCAATTAATGTTTGCTTAAGAATAAAAATGCGATACTATTTGATTTTCTGTTTATATAGGTCTCTCAATTCTTCAGTAAACCAGACTTTGTCTCGTGATTTAATGAGAATAGTTTTATGAGGAATAAAATGGTTAATTTGATCAAGAAAAATTTCATTTAGAACTTGTGCTTTTTCATTGATATTATAATTACGAAGGATTTGCTTCAGAGGAAGTAGAGTACAGTTATCATTGATCAATTCTCAATTTGCCAACTTATAATCATATATTATCCGCTGAAATCTACTCTTAAAGTGATGTTCGACGTTCAAAGTAAAAAACAAAGCTATGCACTGTAAAGTCGGGAATTATTTATAGAAAATGCTCGACGATTTTCAAAAGTCCATATATGAAATCCTTCAGATGATAGAAAATCGAATTTCCAATAGTGTGGAAAGTCGACATCGATTTTCTACATTGTTGGGAATTATTTATGGAAATCAATCAAAAACGATTGTCGATTTTCCAACTTTTTAGAAATTCCTTATCGATTTTCTGGCAAGTGGAAAAAGTCAATTTATAGAAAATCAACATTTTCTAAACAGTCAGAAAATCGCTGGGATTTATAAAGGTTGGAAAATATTTGGCGATTTTCTCTAAAGTAGAAAATAATTCCAAATTACAGTGTATATGCTATTTTCTCGATTTTGTTCGTCAAAAAATTAGTTCTTCATTTTTAAAAAAGAACAAAAGACGAATTCTTGTTCTTCAGAGAACATAATTTTTGTTCTCCAGCTTTGGGAAGAATGTAAAGCATATTTTTATTCTTCCGAGAACAAGAATCCGCAGTCCATTAAAATATTTGTCTATGAAAATGCGTATGTCAGCGCAAATTTAGGAGAGGCGATGGATACAGTCAAATGGTAATGACGACGGCCTTCTACAAACAAAACAATAAACAAACAAACTTTTTTTTGCGAGCTGCATCATCGTTCTTAGATTTTGTCGAAATCTTCTCCGGCAAATCACACCATTGATTTTTGAATGATTATCCTTCTTTCAAATTTTATTCTGTTGTCGTTTTGTCTGTTTGCTTTCATTTGAGCTACACAGTAAATTTAGAAGTAGAAGAGAAGTTCGAGATTATGAAGTGTACTTATTTTGTTTTAGTTCCTTTTTGACCTTCAGGTTTTGCCGATTAGCTTTTTTAGGCTATAAGATCGTTAGAAGACAATAAGCTTACCAGCACATAGTGTTTTGAGATTCATTTGTCAAATGTGTCTCCTAATCTAATTTATTTGTTCCATTTAAAGGCTTTTTGGATTCATGTTTCCGTAAAAGATTGATTTACGACAATATTGCTCTAGCTCTACTCAGGTCGCAACATGCAAAAACTTTTTGGTAGTTCGTAAAAAATGAGTTCTTTCGAAAACAATTTGTCGCATATAGAGATCAAAAATCTGAAAGTGTGATCTTCACCGTGTGTATTCTTCGGAGAACACAAAACTTCCCTAGCGAAAGTTCTTGGGTCCAAGAAAGAGCAAGATCTTGGGGCAAAAATGTCCCAAGATCTTGCTATTTCTTGCGCAAGAAACAATCTTTTCACCACCTTTAAGAAATGTATTTCTTGCCTTGCTGGCAAGAAAAAAGCAAAAAGATGAAATGCCGGGATCGAGATTCAAACTCGCAATGCACACTGTAAAAAATAAAGTGTGCTCGGGGCACACTGAACTTGGACTTTTTTGCACACTGAGCAAAAGCAGCTTGTTCAGTGTGCTCATAACACTCTGGAATTGCACATATAGCTTGCATAGACAGAACGAGAAGAAGGATCGAGGAAAAGAATAATTCTTCCGTCTTTTTCCATAGAGAAACGCAAGATAAAATTTCAGATTACACAGTGACAATTTGCAGATCATTTTGGACTCGAAATGCACATTTGGAGGGAATGCACGCTAGCAGGCACACTTTATTTTTTATAGTGCAGTGAAATAGTCTAGCTTATAATAGAATTTTCTCTTTTAGCGTATCTTGATCTTTTCTTGATGTCTCGCGTACGTTAGACATAAGGATACATATAGAAAGGAAGCATAATCTGCATGCTTTCTTCTTCATCTTCACCTTCTTCTTTATGCTTCCTTTCAGTAGAGCTCTACCGTTTAACGTATCTTTATCTTTTTCTTGATGTCGCATGCAGATATCTGTATGTCAGACATAAGGATACATACAGAAAAGAAAGCATAATCTGCATGCGACATCAAGAAA